TAATTATATTCATTTTCAGGTACAAAGATTAATTTTGGCGATTATATTCATTTTCAGGTACAAAGATTAATTTGATTATATTCATTTTCAGGTACAAACATTATTTGCAGGAGTATAATGAGAAATATATGGTCTACTTACTTGAGTATGAATAGTCAGATGGAGAAAACATAATACTCCCTCCATTCCTAAATATTTGTCTTTCTAGAGATTTTAACAAGTGACTACATACGGAGCAAAATGAGTGAATCTACACTCTAAAATATGTCTATATACATCCGTATGTGGTAGCCATTTGAAATCACTAAAAAGACAAATATTTTGGAACGGTGGAAGTATGTAATTGAAAAAAAACAGTATGTGTTACACTGAATTTTCTTTTACCAGTTCCCTTTTGTACTCTATACTTATTTCTATGGTCCATGTTAGGATATCTCCTATAACTGGCATGATTGTTACACAAATCTGAATTCCTAAAGGTGCACCGGGATTTCAATGTTGCTAAAGAAAGAGACAAGGATCAGTGTTATTACTTACAGTACATCCTATCATGAATAGGCATAATATGCTTTTTACCTACCTTTTCCTTATGGACTATACTGGAGTACTCCCTCCGTCCCAAAATTCTTGTCTTAAATTTGTCTAAATACGGATGTATCTAACACTAAAATGTAACTAGATACATCCGTATGTATCTAAATTTAAGACAAGAATTTAGTGTTAGATACATCCGTATTTAAACAAATTTAAGACAAGAATTTTGAGACGGAGGGAGTACATGACTATTTTCAGTTAGCGCTAGCGGAGGGAACACGCAGCAATTGTTGTCCATCTGTACAGCGGCACTGTTGATGGTAAATTACGTGGACGCGGGCGCAGATGCCGTTGTTACGCTTCATTTGTTCCCCATACTTAATTAGCTCCCTAGCTATTTGTGACGGTGAAATTTTAGTAATTTGAATTGTCATATGTGTTGATATAGCTAGCAGGTACTATGTTTTGATCGACCCATTTGTTTGTCCAGTTGAACCGGTACGTCCATTTATAATGTGTGTAATTGGAAGAAGGTCGGTATTAGTCGGTGTACATGCATATGTTTTCTCATTTGATCGATCAAGCATCGTGCATGCATGTAGGAATAGTAGGGCATTTGAACATGCTTATTGATCTTAATAGGAACACTTTTCGCCGGTGATTTCTGACTTGGAAGAGCGTTGTATGGTACTCCCTCCGTTTTAAATTACTCGTCGCAGAAATGGATGTATCTAGAAGTAGAATACATCTAGATACATCCATATCTGCGACAAGTAATTCGGAACGGAGGGAGTAGTACATCCGGGTGCCTGAAGCAGGCAACTTGCGATAGTATGATTAGTTTGAAGCCATACATACTTATTTCACAAAATACATGGTTCATCATTTCTATTTTCTTACTATTTGTTTTCACTAATAGTGTATATCTTTTTTTTTGGAACTTTTCCTAATGTATACATATGGAAACTCGGTTCAAGCACAATTTGCCATCAGAATATGTAGTCTAAAGTTTCTTTTGGTTTTGCCTTGCAAGATTTAATGACCAGAACTACTTCAGTACTTTATTCTGACTCACTACTTTTAATAGAATAGGGTCCCTATTCAATGATACAAATTCAATGAAGATTGGCATGTCGGGATCAGTTTAATATGTGCTTTGGGAGAAGATTTCAAATAGGGTCTATATTCATATATTTATATACCATTCCCCTAAAATTGATTCGACATGCACTTCTTGGCTCTCAAATTAAGGTATGCATCTTTTATGCTTTCCAAAAGCAGTGGAAGAAGAAAAGAGTTCATGATGTGCTTTCGTTGGAGAACAAAGAGAATGCTACTCTCCATTTTGGATGGAGAAGTGGTAGTTCTTGCTGTGTACTTTAGGACTAATTAGCCAGTGATTGAGGGCCTACAAGATATGCCATGATTGATGCATAACTGATTGTATCTTCATTACGAAGACATACCTCATCTATCTCACATGAAATCACAAAAACGGAAGAAACAAACCAAATAAAATTAAACAAAACAAGAGTTCAAACCAAGCACATGAAACCAGATATGAAGATGAAAAACCAAACATTTCGTGACAAAAAAATACAATTAAACTTACATGAACCTGAACAACTCTTGGAAAACACAACAATTAAAATTAAAAACCTCAAACTAACGTAACAACCAACCAATTAGCCAAATAATCAACTCAAGGCCCTTTCTATCATCACATACAGAACTTCTATGTAGTGTCTAAATAATGTGTGTATCTTTATGAAAGATTTCAGAATGCACACAATATGATGTTTATACATATATACAACACAACATAAAGTGAACAAACAACAAGTGAATACTTAATCAGATAAGGTTTAACAACATTGCATACACAATTTCTCACATATATAATGTATCAATAGGCGCGGCGTGGGCATGGCTAGTGTTATCACTAGGAACGATTGTGCTAACTGACCATTAAATAATCCTCTTATAAAACAAGGTTATATGAAATATGTTTGAATTTTAAAAAACCTAATACGCACTGCATTGTGGAACGGATGGCGCAGCTTTGTCCTAATTCAAATTATATAAAGTTTGACCAAATTTATAGAAAGCAATACGAATATTTACAATGACATATATATACACATATAGGCA